GCTTATGTAACGTGAATATGATGTCCCTTACAAATGATCAGACTCCCTTTATATATTAGGGGAATCCTAATCTTGGTATAATTCTAAATACAGTAAGAAATTTCATGATTGGCTGATTAATCGGCCTCTTCTTGATACGTGCCGGGATTTGCGTCGTGATCCTCGCCCAATTGAAGATATTTCGTCTTTCCGTTATTTGACCAAGTAGACTTTCCTAGATCTCCATCTTTTCCGGTCCCGATCTTGGTCAGTCTCGAACTTAATCGGTCTCAGGGTCTCGAGCTTGACAACTTAACTCTGTACCATAGTTTGATATAAATTGAAGCCGATCCTTAACTAATCATGCTTTAGCTACGATCAGTCACACAAAAAGGGGGCAAGCCCAATTTTGACCATATACACATAGTGTCGGGTCTATTTACTGGTTATTGCTTTTGTTTTGCATCTATTTTCTGGTTTTCATGATGTTGTTATCTTTCTTATGGTATCTGTTGGTTATACTGATATTATCTCTTTTCGTCTGCTTGAGCCGAGGGCCTTTCGAAAATAGTCTCTCTACTCCTTAGGGGTAGGGGTAATGTCAGCGTACACATTACCCTCCCCAGACCTCACTAGTGAGATTTTACTGGGTCGTCGTGGTTGTTGGTTGTACACTGCATATATACACTTAGCTAGCGTTTGACCATAGATTCTCAAATTTGTGTTGAAAAATCTGATTTGGGTGAAATTTGGTTTGAAGACGAAAATGTGTTTTGACATCAGTTTTCAAAACATATTTCCCAAATTTATTTTGGAAAAATATGAAACATGACTTATACCCACAAGTTCTAAGAATTTTCACAAATACCCCAACAGTACTATTACCAATGACATTCATTATATTATCGCAAACCATATTCCTGAACATAAATAACTTTGGTACAAAATTATCATTTTTATAATGAACTACATGATACACTATCAGATGACCGAGAAGAAAAAGCAACATTATTACAAAATAATAAATGGTGGGCTCTTTGATAAAATACAAAAGTTTGGGATAATTTTTAAAAAATGTAATAGTGATATTTTGGCCCAAAACCAACTATTGAGCTGATTTTGGGATTTGAGATTTGAGATTTGGGATTTTGCCAAAAATGTAGGTAAAATCTATGACCAAACATGTGTTTACTAAATAAAATCCAAATTAATTTTGATAAAATCTATGACCAAACGGGTCCTTAAACTATGGTAATTAATAGTCTAGGCTGATCCAATTGGAGGTAATCTTTTGTCAAGGTGAAAGATCGATTCGGTGGTGTCTCGTATGGGAAACTACTAACAGAAAAATCTAGAAAGAGTCAGCGGCATGAAATTAAGCTCCAGTTTGTTTCTTCACACTTCCCGTTTGGTTCATTATCTTCCAGCTGTTGTTTAGTAAAGCAGATGTCACTCTCCGCTCCTTCCATAATTTTACGTGTAATATAGTAGCTTCACATTTCCCATTACTTTACTACGTACTTTAAGCTAAGAAAGCTGTTTGTACTAGTATACTTTTTACTCTAATTATGCATTGGGTCCTATCTTTAACTTAAATAAAAGACCCCAGCTGGACCCCTTCCCAAACGTGTCTTTTCTTTAATTTTCACACACACTTTTAGAACCTCTCTGCTCTATTTATACACAAAACCATCCAAACCCCAAAACAAACAGAGCTCAGACAGTCAGATACTTGTAGATTTCATTCAAGATTCTTTTTGCAAAGATAATTCCACTTTCACATAATGGGTCAGTTTACATTCTTCTCTTACTTTCTGCTACTAGGGATCTTGGTTTTTCAAGCAGTGGCAGAAGGATCGACAACTACAAGTACTGATCTTTCACTAGCATACCCAAGAAAAATGATGGTACACAGAGTCTTGTTGTCAACAACAAGTAACATAGCAGATCCTCCTGAAAAATCCAATACAGAAGGAGAAAATGAAGGTGAAAAAGTAGCAGAAGCTCCAGAGAGTATTGAAAGAGAGCATCATCATTCTGATAAGTCAGTTGCTGGTGGAGGGGTTATTATTGGTGGACTTGTTACTGCTATTTTTGCTGTTGTTTATTGCTACATTCGGGTTACTAGAAAGAGAGACGGAGATCATTAGATCAACAAAGACAGGTTGAGTTTTTAAATGGTTTTGGCCTTGTTTGAAAGAGAAAATGTGAATGAATAGTTTAGTTTAGGAGTTATCATATTAATTTGTTGTTTTTCTTTTATATAGAAGGAAATAGATAGGAAAATTTGGATGTCGAGCAAGGAAATTAATATAGTACATAGTTAAAATGCCAAATGAGGATGTTTGGAGCTAAATTTGTGTGTGTGTTAATGTGTATGAATTAGAGGCAGCTGAATTGTTGAACATATGATTAATTAGTATGCTTAATCGAATACAATCCAATACTCAAAAGTGATTTCCACAGACTGCGCCTTAATTTATGTGGAGTACTTAATTATGAAGAAATTTCTTCTTTTTCTTTTTTCCTTTTATTCTTCTTTAGATTTGTTTCCCGGTCAGAGCAATACAAGCTCATTGCTGTTCCCAATCAATCATTATTGTTTTATTAAATTAAATAAGAAATGATGAAGAAAGCTATTCACTAATTGGTGATCTGCGAGTTGTTATAGATTAAAATTTAGATGGGTTGAACCAAATTTAACCTAAATCGGCGTCCAAAGGAACCAAAAAAATAAAAAATAAAGAGAAAATGAGAATAAAGGAGCTGCGTACGCAAATTACAGTGTTTCTCTCAAGCCCCTATATTTATTGCCGCCGTTGCAGATAGAGTAAGTAATATTTTGCAACAATGACCAATTTGATGAAGCACCGACCTTTGTCAGAAATTGCCGTCAAAATTTATTTAGTGATTAATTTTTGTAACGTTGCAACATCAATCTTCATGTCTATTAAAGAGAAAATGAACATCTAGTTATGTTTTTATGAGGTTACACAAAGGTAAAAGCAAATCGTAATAACGAGCGAACGAACAATAAAGACCCTAACGAGTTGATATCTTAATTTTTAAAATCTTTTGCAGGATCACAATAAGATTAATCATTATAATATAAGCTACTGGGGGTAAAAAAAAATTGAAGACAAATATTTACTCCCTCAACAAAATAAATAAATGTCTTTAACATTTGTTAGCTATAAAAATTTCTAAGCAAGGGTAAAATAAGATGTTTAAATTAATCTTTTTTCCCCTAAATATAGAAATGGATCATACTTTATCAATCGAACTTAAAAGAAAACAAGATCACATGGAATGAAACAAAGAAGTTTTTAAAAAAAATATTAAGCAATTAGAATTTCTCTCTTCCATGTCAAATCTAGTTTACTACTTTAATTTGACCAGCAATTTTCTGCTAGAAGTTTTTATTTTTCATAGATACTGTAGAATTTAAAATAACTACTGTCATTTTTAAGTAAAACTAATGAAAAGATAATAAACAGAAAGAAAAAAAAAAGGGAAGAAGAAAAGAAAGAAAAAGAAACAAACATAAAAAGAAAAGCAAAGTTGATAGCGGAAAATGTTTAGGGCGTGTTTGGTATAAAGGAAAATGTTTTTCGTTGAAAATATTTTTTAAGAAAATATTTTCTTGGTAAATAAGTAGTAATTTTATTCATTTTTCGGTGCTTAGTAAGTAAACTAAGGAAAATAACTTCTCAAGAGTACNATGCAGGAAATTTCTTGCATTTAAGTCAAAGTCAGACTAAGGGTATGTTTGGTATAACGGAAAACGTTTTTCAAGAAAATATTTTCTTGGAAAACAAGTAGTAATCTTATTCATTTTCCGGTGTTTGGTACGCAAATTAAGGAAAATAACTTCTCAAGAGTACTCATAAATAATTTAGATACAATAAACATGAAGCCATAAACTTTCGAACCAACAATCTTCCGAACCCATAAATTTCATAAACTTTCGAACCCGTAAAATTTATAATTTTTAAACCCGTAAACTTCCAAACACATAAACCTCCGAACTCACAACTTTGAAACTTGTAAAATTTCGAACTTGTAAACTAAATAATTAAAAAACTAGAACTGAAAATATATAAATAAAAAAAATATTTTTTTTGCGGGGATGGGGGCAGTGGGTTGGGGTGGGGGTGGTGGTGTAGAAAAATGAAAAAACAAAAATTTGAANAGAAGGGGGTGGGGTTGGGGTTAGATGTGAGGGTAGATAGAGTTTTTGGAAAATGTTTTCCTATATTTTGTTTAGGGAAGTCATTTTTCTCCAATTTCAGGAAAATGTGATATTTAGGAAAATATTTTTCAAACTATTTTGTGCAACCAAACAGTGGAAATGAGAAAATATTTTCCGGAAAATGTTTTCCGTCATACCAAACACACCCTTAGTGGTGGCAAAATAATAAATAAATAAAATTTTTATTTATCTATATTATCACTAAAAAATAGGTTAGATAATGATTTTTTAAAATTGATCAATTATGGATAAGATTCATATTAGTATTTATTTAAAAAATGGATAACTAATGGGACCTTCGAAAAAACTTAAATTCTTCAAGTTTGTAAGACTATGAATTTTTTCAAAAGTTATTATATTTAAGAACCCATTTTTTATCTGTATTAAATATAAATCGGATCGAACAATTTATACTTTTTTGCATTACTCATTTTCGACCCGACTAAATCTGACCCGACCAGACCCGACCGGTTGCCACCCGAGTCATATTCAACTAGAGGGACTGAGGGAGGACTCGTTATTTGCTCGGAGGGAAAATCCCTCTAGTTTGTTGGTATCTAGAGGTTGGAGCAGCTGTTCCTATTTCTTTTTCTTTGGGAAATGAAATAACGAAAATGCTGCGGTTCAGAAGTATACTATCAGGCAAACGATACTGAAGTGCAATATTCTTCCTCAGATTTTTCATCTTTGTCAAACACAAAATCACAGCGCACACAGAAGAAGAAGAAAAAGAAGAAGAGGAGATTCGATTGTAACTAAAACTGTAACTATGGGTAGTTCTGGTTGTCAAGGCCTATTCTTTGTAGTTCTCTCAATAATTCTTGCTTTTACAGCAATTACCACCAGCATGCATTCAAGAACATCAACAAAAAACTCAAATCCATCTCATCAATTCACCAAACACGCCCTTACAATGAACGCTTCTAAAGCTCTTCGAAATCAAGGTTTCAACATCTTAGCTACTCTACTTCAAATCTCTCCTGAAATTTTCCTCTCCACTCCTCAATCCACCATTTTTGCCGTCCAAGATTCCGCCATTTCCAAGCTCTCTGTCCCTTCTTGGGCAATGAAACAGCTCCTTCAGTACCACACTTCCCCTTTCAAGCTCCCTTTTCAACAACTGTTGAAAAAATCCCAAGGAAGTTGCTTAACGACCCTTTTGTCTCAAAAAAGCATTGCCATCACAAAAACTGATATAAAACACAAGTCTGTTGAGATAAACAATGTGTTACTTTCTCATCCTGATTTGTTTCTTGAAGAAAGTCTTTCAATACATGGAGTTATTGGAGCTTTTTCTGAGTTGGATTTTCATGCAATGGACGAACACAGTGACATTATTCAATCACCTATTTGTGAAAACCAGATATCAAATGCAAGTAAAACTGATCTCAAGAACTTGGTTGATTGGCCAAGAGTCATCAAATTACTCAGCTCCAAAGGATATGTTTCTTTTGCAATTGAATTGCATTCTGTTCTTGATGGGGTTTTCCAAGATTCTGCGAATTTGAGCTCTGTAACTATCTTTGCTCCACCAAAGTTGGGATTTTTATCATCCCCTTCACCATTGCTAGAAAGAATTGTTAGGCTTCATATATTGCCTCAGAGATACACTTACATGGAATTGGCTTTCTTGCCTGACAATTCATCCCTCAAGACATTGGTTCCAGGCCTAAATGTTACTATTTCTAAGAGCAATTTTTCGCGTATCTTGACCATTGATGGAGTGGAGATTACAGCGCCAGATATTTTCGTGTCTAAGACGTTCATCATCCATGGAATTTCTCGGGTTTTTGAGTTGGAGGAGCTATCCATTTCATTCAGATAATAAGCTTTCTTACTTTGTGTCTTTACAGCATTAGCAGCTTCTGTTAGATGTATGTATTCATTTCAAACTAGAATTAAGATAGGAGTAGTAGATATGGAAGTTATGGATGAGAAACAGTACTCGGATAACTTCAACAAGTAGTGCTTCTTATGTTTAGTTTTGTAGCTCCAAAATTGCTATTGGATGTAGTATAGCTAAGCATAGTTGATAAACACCCTTTTACTATTTTGTTAATTCTATCAAAAATGTACTCAGATACTATCCATAAGAAAGTCTGCAGCCATAGAAAGGGAAAACATCATTCAAAGTTATAATAAATCAGGTAGCAACACGAAACTAAGAAAAAAAGTTCATTCCAATTTTCAAGGACTGATTTTTTTTTTCTTTTCATTTTGGATACAAAAGATAAAAATGTTAAATAAACTTTTAATAGGATTAATATGAAAGGTTGTGGATCATTACTTAAAAGGGGAACTCTGCGTTAACTGTTCCATAGAGTTTGTAATCCACTGTGAGGATTTGGTAGAAGAATTGATCACCTGTCTATTACCTGAAATCTGTATTCGAATAAAGACTCGACAAACATGCCACTGATACTTATTATAAACAAGCACACAGTTGCAAAGAAGACATCACTATATGCTAACAGAAAAATGTGGTACCAGTTTTCCGAACCAAAAAAGAAAGAAAGAAAAGAAGATAGAAAGGAAAACAATGCATGATAGTGTACTGAAACTGAAAATTGGAATCCTGTAAGTTCAGTGCATGTCATCAAATTCTCCTTCATTGCCTTCTTCATGGCTTGAGATCACATCTTGTTCTTTCTTGTCTTCCTCTGGCTTTGTCCAAAATCCTAAACCTTCAACATTTCATGGGAATAATTCCAGCGAATTGTAGTGGCTAACTTCCAAGTATTTGAGGGCTGCCATTGCACTTTTTGAATGTTTCCATCAGTTTTGGCAAAAATTTCAAGCACAGTCCTTCTATATTCCAGCTACACTCATTACCTCCCAGAAATTTTCACTCATGCGTCTAAGCACTCTTGAATCTTCGATGCAAAGGTACTGCAGTTGAGGAAGTGAAATGGGATTTATCCATGCTGGTGTGGTTTCTCCGAGAAAGTGCCTTAGATATAATTCTTCGATACGTGTTGGTGGTGACAAGTTATCCAGCTTCCTTATGATGTCCTTGTCTTCATAGGCACATGCATTGATCAATAGCACCCTTAGTAGTTGAAGTTGTTTTAATGCAGCTAATCCCTCGTCCTCTACATGCTTTCCTCTGTTATGTCTAATTGCAATACACGAAGTTGAGTCAGCCACATGATCTCACTCAGGCGACAAGCTTCTGTTGTTGCTGGATTTGGTATCTTGAATCCATACAACTCTTCAATATTGGAAAGCCTAGAGAGACTTTGAGGTAAGCATGAAAAAGATGGACAATTGCTGGATTCAGTATCTTGAATCCACAACTTGAGAAGCACAAAATGCACTGCTTTAGATGAGCAGGAAGCTCATCATAACTTAGCTGCAAAGAAGCCATTACAGAGATATTGGTTTCACTATCCTATATATTGAAAATTTACACTTATCCGCCTCCTCTCCCCGAGTGAATGTGGTTTTGATGATAACATACCACCAATGGTTTTGATGGCTAGAGGAAGACCACAACACTTTCCAACAAAGATTACACTTACCTTTAGTTGACATAAATGCAAATTTGCAGAACAATGACCAACTGTCATCATCATCGAGCAATCTAGGTCGATGAAATCTTGTTTCTGTGACTCCCATTCTCTCAACAACATCCTCATTTCATGATGTGGTTATAATACAACTATTATGCTCTATTGAGTCTGACCAAATATTCATTATCTTCATTTAAAGACTTTGTCATTTGCTGCCATCTGATTTGCTAATGTTAGTAGAGGGATTATACTTGTCTTGTTACGATACCAAATTGTACGAGCCTGACATCTAAATTGTCCTGTATCACAACTCAAAATTTCCTTGTCAAGATACAGGAAACAAATTTTAGAAAGTTCATAGAAAAATTATTCTAAACTGACCAAAGTGAGAAGGAAAAATATTCTGGTAAAGATGTTCCTCAATGCTATAATCACGACTCTCAAATTCATGTAGAGAACGTAGCAAGGACGAGTAATGTGAACCTGAGCTAAGCCTAGGCTAATTTAGACCTTTAAAATTGTAATGCAACAATGCTTGTCAAATCCTCCTATCTAGGTATTACATCCTACTGTAATAATTATTAACAGATCTCCCAGATTCTTATGTGGCCAACCAATTGTTTGACCTGGTGCAAAAATGTTTTAGCTCTCCAGATTCATTTACTAGTCCGATTAGCTGAGTTATGCCAAACTATCTGTTTTATCCCCTCCCGAGTGTTACAAACTGTTGGATGATAGTGTCTTTACATGAGCTTTGAAAATCTAAAGAAGGCGCTATTCTGAAGCTTTTACTAAGTCATGAAATGATATTCTTATACTTCCCACCAGAATAATAGTACAGGATATGTCACTTATTTGCATCGACGAACAGATGTTTAGAGCTGATTTCCAGATTTCGCTTATTGTGATAGACACCTGGTTGGAACATGAGAAGGTTTCTGGATCAAAGCTTTAGCAATACCCACAATGGAACTATACATGCTAGTTACAGTGTTATGGGACTGAACAGGTTTGGGAAAAGAATTGGCTGAGCAAACTAAATCAATTTATCACAAAGATGCTATTGATGTAATTTTAAGAAGAACATGTAAGAAAAATGAGTAGATAATATTGATTAAGAACAAAAAGGAAAGAACAACTTATAAAAAATACTGTGTCGTGGCAAGCCACTGTCTTGAAAGCGATTTCGATCCGACTGGGTGCAAATCGTTAAGACCGGTCGCTCCCCAAGATTCCACAGCAACTCCAAACACGTGCACTCGTAGCTGGAAGTTTAGAATTTGCACAAAACAGTTGCCCAGAAAGAAGAGAAGATGAAGGTATATTTTCTGTAGCTGTTACAGAAATTAAAATATTGTAGGAAGAAAATAATGATTAGCAAGATGAATTGTTGGTTAAGAATTGAGTAAATATGATGACTAATAATCATCATATTTATAGGCAATTAGGGAGGTTGCATGTATGACAAGTGTGGAGAGCCTTTTAACATTTGTCCAAATATATTAGTCCACTTGGTTTCAATAATAACAAGTGTACTTAGTCTTCCATGCATGAAGACACATGATAGATTTGCATAACCATTTGTCAAAGCCATTCAACACTTGGCTTTAAGGCTTCATGTAAGAAGTCACTTAAAAAATAAAAAGACCCATGGCTATTGGTTGTAAATGGATTTTCAAAAAGAAATTTTTGACTTTGCATTATAAATAATACCAACAATCATCCACTAATGCAACGACAAAAATAGAATAATTCTGGGCAAAAGAAGGAACATGTACTTAAGTGTCAATATCTTTCGATTTGAATTGACACATAGTGAAATGAGGCAACAACTAACATCAACAAAGTGAAGTACTCTTGAACTGAATGGACATTTAGTTGAGACCCCCACAACACATACTATATCCTTAATTTTATGCAAACTCCGCGATACTAACAAAATGCTTTTATGGTCATGCACATACCTTGGGTCTCATGAGTGCTCTAGAAAGACATCCCAAGTCTTTCATAAAAGGTGACCGCACCTTTACACTCACACATGTGATTCCATCAAGTTTATCTATACATAGACTACCTTAAGGCTATGGAATCATTAAGAGCAAAGTAAGCTCAACCTTATGAAGCACTACAACACAACATAGTGATAGGAAATGTAGTGCATATTGAGGTCTTATATGGCCTCATTTGACCACAAACGGGTATCCACCATACTTCCTCAATCCATGGGCTTTAGCCCCATCCCCATCGATGTTTCAAGGATAACTCTCTTTGTCAAACCCTTGGTTAAAGGATCCGTCAAACTTCTTTCAGATCTTACATATTCCAAGAAAATAACATCATGTTTCAACAATTGTTTTACCGCGCCATGCCTAATGCGGATATGTCTTCTTTTTTCATTGTACACACTATTTTTGGCAATTCCAATTGCCGCCTGTGAGTCACAATAGAGAAAAACTAATGAAGCTTGTCTTCCCCACAAAGGCACGTCTACCAATAAGTTTCTCAACCACTCGGCTTCTTGCCTTGCTAATGATAGGTTATAATTTCGTATTTTAATCGATTATTACATTCCAATTTACTGCATTTTTATTGAGTTTGAGCTTTAATCACTAGTGTTTTGCATTAATGGTGTATTTTATGCCTTATAGGAGTGATTCCGAGCTATGTAAATGTTATGTAATGACTTCAAGTGATTTGAAGCTTTGAAGTCTGAGTAAAAGCCCAAGGAATTAAGTCGAAATCATGTTCGGAGATCAACGGATGATAGTTAAGAACGAACGAAGAATCGCGTAGGCATATTATGCATTGTCTAGTAAAATGTAGATAACGTTTTTCTCAAAACTCCATTTGGGCTCCACAATATATAGTTGGAAAGCTAACTCAAAGGGATACAACTTTTATGTTTTAGGTATTTCCAAATTCCAAATAGAACAGGGTGAAAAGTATACTGCAAGTGCGCGGGCCGCGCACTGGCCACGCAAATAGGGCAGAACACTGGGCAAAATCCGCGGCCAATCCGCGGTCGCGTACCTCCTGTCCTGGAAAAGTGTCCTTTTTCGCGTAGGAGAAGGTGAAATTATTTGGGCCCGACCCTACTTGGTATATATACATGTAAAAATGCTATTTTGAGGAGGGAGACATACTTTTGACATAATTTAGACCTAATGAGGCTAAGGAGAACGGGGATTCGACCTAAGGAGGCAAGAACACACTAGGAGCAAGACGGAGAATACTTCTACGAGCTTTTCACTTCCTTCTTCCTATTTCCATTATTGGTTATGAATTTTAGTATTGTAGTTTTGCATACTATTAT